TTTACTGGAAGGCTTGCTCTCCAGTTTTGTGTTGCTAAGCGGTATCCAAGCACGTGACCACTAGCTGCAAAGGGCCTATTGTTTCACACATCAAACCAAAAATGTTAAAAACAAGATATGAAAAAATAACTTTTTGAAGCAATTTTGCAGGTGCACTTTTGAAACATCATCATGGGTACAGCGTGTACAACTAATATAATATTCTCCCTAACAATAAGTTATAAGCTCTAGATTAATTTCAAAATCTCAAAATTCCAGATTAACATTTTTAAAACATAAAATTTCGGTCTAAGGTTAGAAATAATCTTAAGCTTAGAATCTTTTGTACCCACAAAATGTTTCCAATTTACAGCATTTTTTGGTACAATGTCATATTTTCGAACAATAAACAGTTAGGGGTTCCCCCTCTTTGGAGGTTACTAAATTTGCGTAAAGGTTGTCAATTGCATAAATACTTAAGCTTATATCTTATTGAAAGGGGAGTTAACAATAATTTATATATATGAAATTCGAAATACCATTCCATATAACAGCAACACCAATAAATTTAACCCAAAGGTCAAACGAGTCTACTCTTCATTTATTATTTTGTTGTTGCTGTAATCAACCAATTTATTCGTAATTCTCATTGCTTTGGCTATAGCAAGGAGAAAAGAATACTCCCAAATGTTTTTGACTTCAATATGTTACTGTGCAGACACTCGAACCATGAACACTACAAGGTCTTTTTTAACATTTTCAAATCATCCAATCAGAACCCAGATTCTTGCCGAGGTTCCAACATTTTCATGCGATTCCAGAGTCTCTTGAGTTGTTGCCGTTAATATAAAGTGTATTAATTATTTTATAACAGCTACTTCGTCAATGAATGACATTTTTGTTTTATTTCTGTAAATTATTGAAAATTTGCACTTTGTGCCACAGTTTTGCATAATCACTTCTTAAGTGAGCTAAAAATGGAACATCTAAGATTTCCCGTCGTTTGTCGTGATTGGGTGGAGCCTAAAAAATGTTTGACTCCTTTGTTTTTACAGAGAGATTTGATTGGATAGTTATGAAAAAATGTCAAAAAAACCTTGAAGCGTTCATGGTTCAAGTGTCCTCCCTGTACGACATAGATCTTAATTTCAACCAGTTAGGGCCAATTAATCTTAAGCTAGAAACTCCTTTTTATGTAGGGCTTAGAAAAGGCTATAAGGTGTAATCTTTGGTTAAGGAAATGACTCAACACTGAAAGGGAGGTAATATCAATGAATATTTCACTGTGTTCATGCCATGAGTTATTTATAATTTAAGGTAAAATAATTAGATTAAGTTAGTATAAAAACTATAGGGAAAAGTTATAGAGTGTTGTGAGAGGCAAAATACCAGAAATATTTTGATATTTTGAGAAATATTAACAAATCAAAGTCAGTTTTCTATGGCTCTGTACTGTAATCGAACATGAAATGACGTCAAAAATGATCCAAACTCAAGTGGTTTCACTGCAACGTTTGGATCATTTCTGACGTCATTTCATGTTCGATTACAGTACAGACCCATAGAAAACTGACTTTGATTTGTTTTTTACCATAACAAAGTCAAAAAAATTGAACAGAAAGACAAGTAAATAGTTTGGAAAAGCTGTTTCATCCGCTTGCTCAGTGCGCGTGACGGATGTCATAAACACAAGCAGGTTTAATCCTCTAATCGACAATGGTTCTAAGGCAATCAGCTAGCAAGAAATTTCCAAGTTATGGTAAAAAACAAGATTGATGCTATTGAATTTATTGGGTTTATAAGATTCAAACTTGGACTACTGTAGATAACCAATTAGCTTTTGGGAGTGAACTTGCAGCTTAGATACATACAGTAGATGGCACTGATGAATTTTTGCTCCCCCCCCCCCCCACCTTTTTATGGCAGTATCAAAGGACTGAACCTTACAAAGATTATTCATAATTCTGAAATGTTACAACAGGTAGACCATCACTATGTTAATATATATTATATTTCATGTAAAAAAAAGCTTTGGAATAATTTAGCAAGGCTTTTTTTACCCTGGAAGATTACTTTTCAATCATAATCTGAATGGATTTCTTTTTCACCCAGATATCTTGTATTATATCTATTTTTGGTAATGTAGTAACAAACTCACCTCTGGGTTTTTTGGTCCCTTTTTCAGCGATCAACTGTACGTTTTTAACCTACAACAAAAGTACAGCAATACCAAATGAAGTTTTCTTAACTCAGATTTGATCATTGAAGCAAGGCAAGAAAATAGACTTTATTTTTTGATGCATAAAATGTCAACTGAGTGATAAAGCGTCCCTCCAAACAGCCCCATAATGGAACAAACTTCTTTAACTTCGCAAAAGCTAATTTAAGTACAGTTATGACCCTAACTTGAAGTGCAAGGAGTTCAGGTAGGGGTAGAGAGGATTTGGGATGGGGCTCAATACCTTTTCTCAACACCAATACTTTGCAACTAGCATCGAGGACCCATTAGAATACTCATTATAGAGTGGTTATCATCAAAAGATACTCACCTCGGCAAACCCACTGAAGTACTGTTTTATGTCCTCTTCTGTAGTCCCAATTGCGATACCGCCAATAAAAACCTTTAATTCATTGTTATTGACTTTTTGCTAAAAAATAATAAAAAATACATTCAAATCAGCAAGAGTTTAAGGTCTAAACGAAGGGGGCTTTCGAATAAGTTGAAATGATCAGACCAAACATACAGTTCACAAATGGTGCTCCTTGACTCTTAGAAATGATGGAGGCTTCGTTTGTCCAGTTCAAAGACCTGGCTTGACCATTAAAAACTGGCCACTCCGAAATAATCAACAGCGCCCTCAGAACATATGGCTTGAAATATTGCCTTCTTGTTAATACTGGTTGGTCTTAATTGTCTATTATGTCACAACTACTTGGTTTAGAGGGAGTAGTGTTACACACTGTAGTATCACAAATTATCTGTTTTAAGCACCCTTAAAGAAAGAAAAGAGATTTTAAAAGTTGTACCTGAGCTACTCCTGTTTGTAGTGCTTGTCCTGGTCCTCTTGGTACAGCAGGTTTGGGATCAATCTTAATTCAAAACAATATATAACGAGTTACCACCCAAATTATTAACCATTTTCACATAGCATCTGTTCTCTCAGCATATTATAGTCAATGCAGGGCTTCCGTAATGACTGGCCAAAAGGCAGGTCAGATTTCATAAAAGCATAGTATATAGTAGCTAGGGGACTGTTCATTTTTTATGGCCATAGGGGAGTTGGGTGGGATTTTGTGAATTGTTAGCGAGAGATGTATGAACCCTTTCCAAACTGAATTTTTATGTGGCCCCTATTGAAACCAGATAATTTAAAAAATAAATTGTCTATTTAGCTAATTATTTTTTGGGCTGCCCCCTAGCTTTCCCATGGGAAGCATCGGTGGCGTAGCAGTGAGAGCGGTCGCTTGCCTCTCACCAACGCGACCCAGTTTCGAGTCCCGACGACCTCGGTGTTGTATGAGTAGAGTTGTTTGTTGGTTCTCCCTTCGCAAAAACCAACTAGTAAATTCTAATTTGATCCTAGGAGATATTCAGAATAGGACTAAACTCGATATCTCCTTTTGCACTCACTGATGCGCTGATGCRAATAAATTATTGTTTTCCCCCCTTAAATGCTATGTATTTTGTGCCCCCTCCCCAAATCCCATCAGCCCCTCTCCAAATCCCAACAGCATCAATGGCGTGTAAAAAATTAACAGTCCCCAAGGAATTTTCTAACAAATATATGGATAGATATCAAAGGTTTTTACAATAGCACACTCACATTCTTGCCATCAAGTTGGTGGACTGGTGTATTGACAACCTTCTGGACAGTTGAGGGATCACTGAATGTTACAAAACCAAACCCTCTACAAAAATATATACAAAATAAGTTCAATTACAAGGTCATAGTAGAACTTTATAATATTCTGCATCTTATGTGGGTATTCTATTCTCTCATTATTCCAATGGTGGTATCCAGGAATAAAAATAACGGCCAGACATCAGATAATGTCCAGCCTGAACTGTGACTTGTCTTGCCAAAACTTTGCCTTGCCGATCATTGAGAAGCACCGGTGGCATGCACTGCTAATGCTCCGCCGAGTCCTGCCGATCTCAATTTTGTATGTGAGTAGAGTTGTTTGTTGGTTCTTTCCTGTGCTTCAAGGGTTTTTCTCCCTGGTTTTCCTCCCTCAAAAATCAACTTCTAAATTCTAATTTGATCTTTGGGCTTTCACCTAGTTTGGAGCCTAGCTCTGTTGTTATTGTCCCACACTGTGATACAACAGCAAAAGCTTTGTAGATTTTAACATGTTCACACTAGCGTCGTATCGGAGTCAGAAGCAACATACGCAGACTCAGTAGTGTACTGCTTATTAACAGCTTGTCTTGCCAGTGTAAACCAGTCTAACAATTCTTTATTATCTGTTTGGGCATGGGTCCTATATTCTGTAGTTTTCACACTTTCATACAAAATACAGGTTGCCAAATCTTACCTAGAATGTTTGTTTATTGGGTCTGTCATTAATACACAATCTGTAACTTGTCCAAACTTCTCAAAATAATCTTGTAATGATTCTGCGGGGGAAAATATGGAATTCATATAAATTTAAGCTTTATACCTTCATCGCCTCTTTATAATTACGATACGTTTGTATGATATTTATACTATATTTAGTTATTAATGAAAAGAAGTAGCGTAAAGACTACTAAAGCTGTACTACCTTTGCTTGTATTGGGTCCCAAACCACCGACAAAGATTTTTCTACGAAAGAAAGAATGAACCTCGTGGTTAATACGACTCTTCGTGCAATGACATTTGAATACAAAAAAGCACCAAAAAACGCATAAATACTCAGAAATACTCCTTAAAAACTTCACAGAGTGATTAGAAATAATTCTCACCCGATGTCATCGCCTTTTCCTGATCCTCTGATAGGCATTTTGGATTATTTTTTAGGTAAAAGTTGACAAATAGTCTAAAACGTGAAAGAAGATGGCGGTCAGTGAAAAGAGTAAAGCACGCTGTTGTCACATAAAATACCCGTATGTAGATGTCGTGGGGCATGCTGGGTAGGATTTTGAAATGTTGAGGGGAGGGGAGGGGAGGGAAGTTATGGTCATTTCGCATTGTTTTCTCTTCTTTTTCAATGTTTTTCTTTTCTCTCTTCATTTTATCCGCTTTTTTCTTTTCCCCTGATTCCTTCTTTCTAATTTCTTTCTTTACCATTTTTTGTTTTTCTTTGTTTTTTTTCCAGTTTTTCCTTTCATTTTCTTTCATTTTTTTTCTTTTTTTTCTTTTGTTTTTTCTTCTTTTTTTTCCCTTTCCTTCTGCCTTGTCTCATTACGATCCACTTTATATATACCAGAGAATACGATAACGAGAATAAGTCATCATAATAAATATAAATAATAAATATATATATATATATTTACATATTTAAATTTTTCCTTTCACATAATTTTCTTATGTTAAGGCTTCGAATTTGAAGAGGATCGAGTCGAGGAGTTGCTCGTTTTGTTATTCTAATTTCTGCTTTTGTTTACCGACCTCAGTAAACAAAAGTTGGTTTAGTGAGTCTTAGCCCGCATACACTGTAGCTTTAGCGGAGTCGTTAGCACTGTTAGCCAGCATTCTTAGGTTTAAGTTCAAGTGAATTCCGACTACTATTACCTCCTCAAAAATGCAAAGAAACATTGAAAAAAAAAAAGTGTGACTCACACGGTTGACGAGATTTAGATTCCACGTAAATGACCTTCCCCTCCAAAGCCCTGGCCCTACCTCTCTGCCCCCCTCCCCCCAACCACACACACGCGCATACGCAAACCTCGACATGCTAAACCCGTCTAGGTAAAAGGAAAAGCTTAGGTTGTTATTATGTACATCCAAGAAACAAAATTTTTGGCAATCTCATAGTGTATCTCACTCTGAAAACAGATTTGATTTTGGATCATGGCAATAACAGGTTAGTCAAATAAAACACATAAGAAGCTATTGATATTCATGCATTTGACATCCACAGCCAGCATGATATAAATTTTGCCATTATATCTGAAAACAGGTTCCTATGCAATAGCCGCCATAGCTGGGACTTCCACTGGAATCTTTCTAGCCCTCATTTTAATCACGACATGTACAATATTCGTACGATGCCGAATGCATAGAAAACTGGTCCAATTTCTTATGAGCTGTTGGCCTATTTCAACCAGATTTAAGGAATTAGATGAAATTGCTGGGGAGACAACAGTGAACATTATAGAAAAATGTTCTTCTAGTGAAAGTTATCAATGTGGAAATAATTCACCGATTTTTAACCCTCGAGCAAGTGGAGAAATTGAAAGTGGTATAAACTTTACTAGAAAACCTTGTGTTATACAATTCTCTCTGTTCTATAACTTTCACGACAGTCGCCTTTTTGTTCATATTATCTGCGCACTAAATGTGCCTCTTCGTTGGTATGGACGAAGCCCAGATACTCAAGTTCGCCTGCAGCTTTTACCCGACATTGACCACGCTTACCACACAGAAATCCGTATCAATGAAACACAACCAATATTCAACGAGACGTTCGAGTTTGTTGGGTATTCAGCGAGGGAATTATTGGAGCTTACTCTAAGGATTGGTTTTTATGCGTTTGACAAGTTCAGCAGAGGAAAACTACTGGGGTATACAACTGTTCCGTTTGAGCACATCGAATGGTATCCAAGTCAAGCGAAAATATTATGGCGAACTTTAGTACCACCGGTAAGATGTAATAGCAGTAGTTCTATCTGTCGTGAAATAAAATTTTTTTCTGAATTCGTAACAGAACGTTTCCATGAAGGTTGACATTATCATCGGGGTAGGATCTATAGGAGACGCGTTTGATTTCTGCACTGATTTGGCGCCTGGTCAATGACCTCAAGTCCACAGAAACGCAATATCTGATTTTGAACAACTAGCGACAATCGTCAGATTAAAATGGATTTTTTTTGTTTTTTGTTTTTTGCTTTTTTGTTTTTGTTTTTGTTTTTGTTTTTTTTTTTT